ACCTCCCGCATACCTAGCAAAAATATGTCTACCAACTATGCAGCTTTCCTTGCTGGACACAAGAAGAAGCCCCTTTCTGTGCGTGAAGCCGAGGATAGGTATGCGGACGAAAATGAGATCGTGATCAAGAATGCCGCAGTTGCCATGAACCAGCTCGACTGGAAAATGCAGGACACTCCATGGGCTATGTTCAAGTACCCATTGATTCTGGGTGTGGATGTCGCCGGGGAAGTAGTCGAAGTGGGTAGCGATGTCACTCGATTCAGCATTGGCGATCGCGTCCTCGGTCACGCCCTGAGCTTTATAACGGAGGACGAAAGGCACGGGGGATTCCAAAATTATACCGTTCTCTTTTCGAACATGGCATCGCCTATTCCGCCATCCCTACCATTTGAAAGTGCAGCTGTGCTTCCTTTAGGAGTGTCGACTGCATCGGCCGCATTATTTCACGAGGACGGCTTAGCCCTCCCCAAGCCCAGTTTGAACCCGACAAAGACGTCTACAACCGTTCTAATTTGGGGTGGAACGAGTAGTGTCGGCAGCAACGCTATCCAGCTAGCAGTCGCTGCTGGGTGCGATGTCATTGTGACGGCATCGCCCAGAAACTTCGCCGCCGCGAAACGACTGGGTGCAGATCATGTAGTAGACTATAATGACGCATCCGTGATCGACAAGTTAAAGGAGGCGTTTCGAGGCAAGAAACTTGCTGGTGCCTTGGATGCGATTGGAACAGAAAAGACGTTCAAGCAGACTGCAGAGGCAGTCTCTCAGGTTGATGGGGTTAAAACCGTCACCTCGACGATCGATGATCTCGAAGATGCGTGGGTGCCTCCAGGTGTGACAGGAAAGGCCATCCTAGCAGTAAGCATCCGGGGGCTAGAGGGTGAGGATATGGACAAGAATGTAGGAAAGATGGTATATGAAGATTTCTTGCCGGATGCCCTTAAGGCGGGGAGGTACAGCATAGCACCAGATCCACTAGTCGCCGGAAAAGGGCTTGGAGCTATTCAGGACGCCCTCGAAACCTCAAAGCGTACACCGGGGAAGAAGGTGGTTGTAAGCATTTAGAGGATTTTTCGCGCTGAGCTGAGAATAACTTGGAATGAAAATAGTTTCTAATTCCCAAGAGAACGACCCTTCGAATAGAAAATTGTTTAGATGCTGTGAACAGGCCGAGCGCGAGAGACATGTAACGGTGCTATCGCGTAGATATATGTAAGATCGGGTAGCAAGTCATTTCCAACATAATGTTAGAAACAAAGCGCCATTACCCTGAAGGGTGATTTCAGAGCAGGCGCAGAACTGGACGTAAACATAATGCTTTTTATGAGGGTTTGGAGACAGTATACTTCGTACAGACGTCCTGTATAGCATGATGAATATTCATATGTTCTACCCAGTGGGGTTGGTGCCGTTCCAGCTCTTGACGCATATGATAACAGACAAATCAATCTGTTCCATTCTGATGTACATATGCGTCATTCTGATAGTTGCTCAGATCGAGTCTGTCTGACGTTCCTCGAGCCCTTTGCGATTCGAGCCGGTGTGCTTGGATGCACCGCTCACAGAGAAAAATAACGACTGATGCCGCATAAAAGAAAACGCAAGTTAAACCAGCAAACAGACTCACGGGGACAGGCCGCGGACGAGAACAGATATATGGAGCGTCACGTCACATATAGAGATCCTTGGATATATTGCTCACGGAACTTTGCCGCCTCCTCAAACGCCCACTAATCCTGGACTGGAATAGTGCAAAACCTAATCTTCACAGCCCTGCTTAAATAAGCAAGTTTAAATGCTTCTAGATTATTTCCGGATTCGGCCATGCCTGGAACCTCAAGAACCTTCATCGATTCCGTCTTTGATAACTGTCGTCCAGCTTCAACTCTCGTTCCTTGTCGTTCTCTTCAACGCCAGTCTCAATTCTCTTGTCTGTTGTTTCTAGCTCCTGCACCCAGTACAGCCATGCTCCTGGACTCTGGGCAGCCTAGACTCTACGTCTAATAGCTATCATCATCCCACCCTTTTGGCCGTGTCCGCCTAGACCCACCCACCCATCTTCCTATATTTAATATCGCCGCATTCCGTCCCAACACGGTTTCTCGCCTCCTGTAGCCGCCCATGACTCCACGAGCCCACTGCCTTATCCAATCGTGGGAAATAAAAAGGACCCGTAACCGCTCCGAGGCGCTGAGGCAATTTATTTTAGTTCTCCTATATAAAGCCTTCAACCCCAGTCTTTCCCTTTAAACCTAAACTACGGCCCTGAAAGGTTGACCTCCCCCCCCGTATCATTCGTGCGAGTATATAACTATCGCAGCCATTTCATATCCCCCTACAGCTATGTTCGAAGACTTTTCATTCTCCTCCCCTCGAAGGAAAAATCGGGACTCGTTGATACCTAGTTACGATGAAGACATGGTGATTGCCTGCGAGGACCACCTGATCTCGCCTTTTTCATCTCGTTCTCCCTCACCCGTTCCGCGTTGTCGAAACTCGAAAGACCATCCTCTACTTCCTAGACATTCACGTCAGCCTTTCCAACTTGGGCCTGCTCCTACATCGATTCCATATAATTATGGCGACAGGCATGGACTTTCGATCCGCACTTTAACAAAGAAACTCAATGCTCAGACCTTGGATAATGATGCAAACAGTGATAGTGATGTAGGACCAGCTCTTCCAATTACGCCTCCTCGTAGTGCTCATACCGATGTGCCCGCAATTTGGTTGGAAAGTGAACCTTTAAGTCCACCATACCGGGAACATGATGATAATTCGTCTTGGACTGGGCCGTCACCTACTTCAACACCGAGGTTTATTGAGTCCCGCCGTACCTCGCATTCTGAAGCGGACAACTTACCATATGCTCACTACGCGTCTATCACGACTCAAGATAAGGAGCAATTTTCTTCTCTCCGCCAGCATCGAGAAAACCTCTCCCTTCTACAATGTACCGCAAAAACAGTAGCGGAAACCGTTAGAATCGCACTTCTACTTGAAGAGAGTGATCGATTATCCTTCGACGAAATCGATGAAGACAGGCATCCGAGTTCGCTCTCCCATCTCCCAGCTTCTCGAAATCCCACCTCCCTTATCAATAACCACAGCCGAAATCCCACACGCCGTTCCTCCACATCCACAGAGCCTGCATTGAAATCTAAACTCTCAATTAGCAACACCTACAGAGTTGATAAATCGCGCCATTCTCCACGGAACTCTAGTCATACCAGTGATTTCCGCATAATAGAGAAATCATCGCGGGGGTTGCGACGGAGGAGTTTGGTGCTAGCTGCCGTTACTGCAATGGTACAGGCAGAGGCTTTAGAGAAGGGGCAAAGGGATCGGGAACTTCGAGATATTCGAAGGGAAAGCTCGCGAGCCGTGAGTTCCGATTTCCTGCATTCTCTTAGCGGAAGATTAAAAGATTCCACAACTGCAAATTCCTCTTGAGAATTTGATCAGATACAAATGGAAAGAACAGGACACGGGGCAGTTGGAGACACTGATATCTTGCTACATGATGATTTTACGCTCCGGGCATATCAATCAGGATAATGCACTCGTATAGATTCACAACCAGCCAGACGGCCCACTCTTTGATATTTTTCCTTTTGTCTCATATTTCCTCCCCGTCCCATCCTCCAATATCACCCACCTACTGGTCCATTACCACTTCTTTTCTTTGTATAATCTCCTTGTTACTTTTCTGTTTTTGCTTCCACTTTTATTTTCGTCGTCTTCATTCTTGGCTTGTTATATACCCCCCACAGTCAGTTTATTATCCTACTTTTTTGACAATTTCCATGTGTGCAAACACCGCCATATCAGAATTTGATATACCTATATAAAATACTGTCTTTCATTAAACTGGTCTAGGTTAGACTAACAGGCGCCACACTAAGCTGTTGATAGGCGAGTATGGCGGTTGCTGAGGATTTTGATATTAGTGTCTTCGCAGATTACAAACGGCGTTTCCTTTCTGTCAACTGGAGGCTTCTAGGTAATTACTCTTGTTTTTGAAATAGCTACTATACTTTATCGGTGAGGAAAGGCTACACGACATGTCATCGGCGGTTTTCCTTTTCCTTTTTTTCCCCTTTCTTATTTGTGGTACAAGCGTCTTGCCTCTCTCTTAGTACATTTTTATTTCCTTTATTTCTTCTGTACTTTCCGTTCTCCTGGTAATTATAGCAACATGCCTAAGCGCCTAAGTCTTGAGGAAAATTCTTGCTGAAAATTTAATATCCAACTCATCTTTCCTCTGGGGATTACAGACGTTCAGGCAAAACCCAGCGAATATACCACAGTAAACAATAATAATCAGGCACAGCAAAACCCTTTTAAGTCACATCATGAAAACAGGTATTGAAATGATTTGCTTTCTCCGCTAACGACTGATTTGCTAAATTATATCCATACATAGCTCATTTCTCTTAGAAATAACAAACGGAAAACCAACCAACAAGTCTCACCTAACTGTGTAACCTCTAAAAAGAAGAAATAAAACGCGAGAAGAAGCATCTAGAAGCTTTGTACATACATACCATACCATATAAAATGGTAAGGGAAAAAGTGGTACTAAAAGCCTCGACTGGGTATATGAGAGCACGTAGAAAGTATATTAGGAAATCTGAAGAAAAAAAGTGGAGAAGATAATAAGATCGTAGCGAAGTGGGTTCAAAACATGATCTTAGTGAAAGAGCCCGTCAAAAGGAGAGCAAATGTGCAAATTTTATGCGATATTCGATGAGGAATTGCATGCCCAATGGAGAGAAAAAGGGTTGTAGAAAAGAAGTTATGAGAAGCATTTACGAAAGATACGAGTTGAACTCTATAGAACAGAACAGGTAATTAGGCTGAGTGGAAACATGTACACGTATCAAAGGTTAGTTTAACACGGGAGGCCCCGGATCGCGTTTTAAGCACGGGAGGGTTTGAACAGTATAGATAAAGGGATTTTGTATCTGAAAAGGGAGAAGGCTGGCATGCTAGTAGTAGTTAATCGCCTGAGGTGTCCTACTGGGAAATTTATTAGCACCATTCGTGGGGCTAAAATACGGAAAATACAATAGGTACACATGTTCCAGGGCAGATGTGACCAACCTTTTCAGAGTCTTGATTAATTATCTTTCGACGCCAGGAAAGCTGTCGCTGTAACAAAGGCAATAATAACCAACACCAGGAAAACTGCCCCGAACACCTGGCGTGCAAAGCGAATCTCTTTCTCATGAAACTGCTCCACTTCTCCTCCTGACCTCCATTTTATCAACCAGTTCGCCCCTTGCCCAACCAGGGCGATGTAGCCCAGCAATAACCATCCCGGGGGTAGCATAATCGAAGAAGCAATGATGAGCTCCCGACCAACGCGCCGCTGGAGGGCAAAATTGGTCTCTGAAGCTACCGTAGTAGTCGCGGCCCGTTGTCTAAATTTGGCTGATGTCTTAAAGAGGCGAGGCGGGGTGGAAAAAGCGTAGCGTCCGTTTTCTGAGCAGTACCACTGGCCAACTTCGAGCTCTTCGTTGACATTGAACGGTCTGCTTGCGACGGTATGGGAACGGTGAGGTATTGCACTCCTCTCAGAGAGTGGACGCGACGAAAGGTCTCTTCTGCTCCGTCGGGTATTTGTAGTTACGATGGGGTCATCCAATTGTCGAATACGCTCTCGAATGAGGTCGTCGCGGGATGATGCCTTCATGCGTATTTTGGTGGTTTCATTGCCGTTGTTCTGTACAGGCGGCCAGTGTAGTCTGGGGATTGCGGGACGCTGGCCTTGCTGGTGCCTAGCTTCAGATACCAGTGATGGACATTTGTGGGAGGTCCCAGTGTCATTGCCTTCAATGACCGCAATACCATCGCCAGAAAGCCTATTGCGAAAACGAGGGGGAGAGGGATTCGACTGGGGATAAAGAATGAGCTGCTCAGTGGAGGAGTATGTAGGCGCGAGATGAACTCTCTCGGGCATCTGAAGGACGTCTCCTCTTTGCGTGCTGCCATCAGGGGAATAATTGCGAGGCACGGAGCGAATGCTTGTGGTTAGAGACAGGGAATTCTGACTATTGCAGTTATTAGTTGCTAGGTTCTCCGTTACGAACATGCTCATTCTAGGGTATTTGTGGGAAAAGGGCCTTTTGTGGCGACCATTAAAATTATTGAAAGGGGATGGGAGGATACTAGTAGTGTTGCTGGCTGTGTTGTGCTCTCTAGCTGAAAAGGGGCTGTGTTTGTTTCGTATGCGGGAATGGGACGAGGCGTCTCGATTGAGAACGGGCATGGATATGTCCTGGCAGGACGATATGGTACACCAGTCTGACGAAACAGTGGCAGGTGGGCCAGAGGACTCAGTCATGGAATTCTGGCGGTATTGCGCGTCGCGGGACGTTGGTTCGTGTTGATGTAAATGTTGATAATGTGGCGGTTGGTGTTGTTGAAGAGGGTGCTGATGACACGAGAAATCAAAGAAATCAGACTTACAACTTGGGTTAACAGGACCAGGGCCAAATCGGGATGACTGATACAGGCTTTGTTTTCTTAATCGCGTCTTCCATTTGTCGAGGACCGGCGGCGGACTTTTGAAGGGATGAACGTGCGGTTTGTTCAGGGGTGTAGGGTGTTGATACTGTGAGGTGGAGGGAAGTGGTGCCGGGTACACTTCAGTTGAAGCCTTGAGCACTGGCACAGGCTTTGCCACAGAGTTCAAGCTATCAAAAGATTTACCTGGGTATTGATAATCTGGGAGCAGGATGCTAGTTCCAGTATTTGGGTTTTGATGGAGCTTATGCTTGTGAGAGAGGCCTCTTTGACCTGGATGGACCATCACTAGGTTGCCAGGACAGCTAGGGAAATGTTGATGTCCCCCAGGTAATGGCAACGATGTCCAAGGTTGTGCTTCTGCATTTGCAAGGCTTCCACAACTGGAAAAATTAGCTAAACTACTACCTGTGTCCACCCTTGAGAAATCACTTCTAAACTGATGGCTTCCTGTGACCGTTTGCCAATCCTGTGCATCTACCCGCTCACTACACCAACCATCCTCCAGCCCAGTGTTACTTTCAAGGGCACTGCATGTTTTCAACTGATCAGCAAACTGTTCAGGTTCCTTAAAGGACGAGTTCGTAGAAACGGTTTGTGGCTTTAATCCATTTCCCTTTGGGCGAGATGAAAATGTAGACGGTAGTTTAAGACGGGATCTTAGCGTTGAGAACGTTCCCAACCGACTCAACTGAGGACTTGACACTGTCTGACTGCTCCCTGGGCCCATATCTTCGTAATCGTCAACGAGAAAATCATGATCTGCAATCCCAGATACGGAACTAGATTGAAGTGTACCAGGATCCCCTCCCACAGTTAGAATTGGTTCGGAAACGTCTATTGAAGAATTTTGGGAATAAAAATTATGCGGCCCGTCCGGGATAGTGTTTATTGGGTGGGAATCTAGGGGACGACGGTTCTGGTAACTAGTAGCATAGGATATAGGAAATACTGGCTCGTCTGCGCCTGTCTGGCGGGATTCCGGGGGATGGATGGGCTTCGAAAAATTAGGGCTTAATGTTGAACTCCATTGATATCGAGATCGAACGTTCTTATAGGGAACCTCAGCGGACAGACATGAGTCAATCAGATACGCGCCATCCGTCCGGGCACTATGCGCTAGGGTCTGGGTATATAACTCTGGAGGAGGTTCATCGATCGACGAGTACACAGAAGACTGTGGTCGCGCATTTTGGACTTTTAAGAGGCTTTTAGCTGGAGATGGTTTGGGGCGTGGCGTAGCGGAGACAAGATTTTGTTCAATAAGGGTTTCGACGTCTGCCGATAGGCGTTCCAATGGGCTTGACACACTGCGACGATAGTTTGAAGCTGTTTTCGTGCTCGGTTTGCCACCTCTACTTTTCCTACCATCTTCGCACGTATTTCGTTTTTCAACCCGAAAACGGGTCGTATGGGGAATCAATTGACGGGATACGAAGCTGGAGATTAGGGTGGACGCGCCGCCAGTGCGAAGTTTCTTCCACTGGAAGGCTTGTTTCGGATCAGGGGGGCGAGGTTTTGTGAGCGTGGAGGGATGCCTCTTGATGACTTCGCCACGCGGTTGCCTGTCGGTTTGCAAGGTTTTACTCGTAAAATAACTTGATAGCTGACCAAGCGAAGCGCCGCTCAGGATCAAATTTGCGAATGTAGTTTTTGGATTCTCGGTGGCATCTTGTGCAGGCAGCGATGGCGCCTTGAGCTGCAGGGGAGATTGAACCTCCACAGCTTTTCTACCTATGTCAGAGCAGATTCGAATATGTTAGAAAGGGCAAAGCGCTGAGGTGAAATCCTCACCGGAATAGGACGCGAAGGGATCAGGAGAATTTGGCGGGAGAGTGACATGGGCCTCCTCAGTACCCGTGTCCAAGGACAGCTCCATATCCAGATCACCTGTGGAGTGATCAATGTATGGAAACAGTGGAAATAGATTGCTTCTCTGGTTTACTATGCGCGAAGTAATAGATGAATGTGCTGTTAGAAGATCTTCGAACAAAGCCCGTGGAGGCGTGGGTCGACGCTCCTCGCTCCCCGATCTTGATCGATTTCCGTATTTCAAGGGCGTTTGTTGTCCCTGAGAAGCCTCACTGACTGAAGGGCTTTGGTCGAGAAACTGAGAAGACATCGGGTCGAAAGAGGGGGCTGGGATACTTCGCTTTAACAAATGAAAGGACTTGGGAGTTATATGTTCAGGCGAGAAAGATACAGGTAAGCCAGGTGATTTTGGCGGGTTGAGTATCTCAAATGAAACGCCCCTATGACGAAGCCTTGTCCTTGAGTGATTTGGGTAGAAGGACAGAGCAGAATCTGAAGAGCTTCTGTGGTGAGAAATGAATCTGGCGGGAATCTGCTTGAGGCTATATTTGAACACATTCTGGCGCGTTTCATTAGTCCCCGCGTCCAATTTCTGCGTAAAAAGCGCAACATGAAATGAAAAAACAATAAGATTACTGGGGACAAAAAGTACCACAAAGGTGACTGATGCATTAAAGTCTCATAAAATAAACACTCACCAACTTCTTCATTCCAGGGCTTGCGCTCGTAACGCTAGTTGCAGGAGTGTAAGGTGGAGGTGGAGGAAAGGACTGCAGCAGAGTCTCCAGTTGTTGAGATGGAGTTTTAGGGGCAGCAGTGAATGCAGTGGTGGTGCGTGGCAAGGAGACAGCGTCTGCTAAAGGGTGGCTGGGACTATTTTCATGAACCCTCGCCTCTTCATGATCAATCGCCGCCTCTGCTAATGGCTGCCAGGACTGCAACGCCTCTACTGAGACTCCGTTAGAAATTTGAGATGCTGATATCGGGGTTGCAGGCGGCGATGGCGGCGCTCGAGGAGGTCGAAAAACGGTGAGGTTCAAGGTTTTAGGCTTCCTTCTCAATGTTCTTCGCGGGCCGGGGGCAGATTGCTCATCCAGTTGCGGGCGCGAGAGAGTCTTACGATACTCATGTAGGGAGAGCCTACCGGAAACCTGTCCGCTAGAAATGGTGCGCAGAGAAACAAGGACAGTCGGTGCAGGACTGACCGGAGGAGATGCAGGTCGTGAAATGGGAGCGGAACAGGTACGACGAATGGGAACGGGCGAGAAAAGAGGGAGCGGGACAGGAACGTCTGAGTATGAATGATATTCGTCAACACTCACACAACTAGAGGTGAGATCTACACTTCCAAGGCCCATATTCCCGTACAGTTAACCGCAACACCTAAACGCCGGATGAGGGTACGCGATCCTAAAGCACAAATTGGATCCTTCTTGCTAACGTGGTTATATAAAAGTGCAGCAATATGGCAAGCTCTAATGAGAAGTTATGCCTGAGGAGCCTCGTCGAGATATCCAAACCAGGCTGGACCATCCAGTCACCAATTCAAATTGGAAAGGTAAAATCCCAAATCCGGCCCGTTGACTCCTAGATTAAATGTCATCATCAACAAAACTCGCAATTGGTATCATAATCATTCATGGCCCAGTGAGCTCGATGCGAGTGGTTGCGGGGTTGTGGACAGTGAGGTGTCTTACCAGTGGTGCGTTGTCACTGAGCTATCAGAAACCAGTCTTGAATCTTCTACTTTCCTGTGTCGGCCTCTAATACGAACCTTTTAGGTATGACAGTGCGATGCACGATGTCTGATATTACATTAGAATACCAGTCAGAAAAACTGAACAAGGGCAAGTATTTACCTCCTTACCTCCGGAAGGGAAGGGAAAAGCCTTTAAGACGTTGACACAGGTTGTAAACGACGGTGAGGCATAGCAAGAGCCAGCTGTTGCTATACTCAAATTCTGTTCAATTCCACCAGGGAAAATGCGATAATAAATAATATATATCGACGAGACAACATGAGCTTCATCCCTTCAAAATGAAGAAGGACAAAATGAAGGCGTCGTCAACTTTCATATGAAAGGAAACAAAATTGAAGCAAACAGAAATATTGAAGAATCAAAAAAAAAAAAAAAAAAAAGCTCTTCCAAGTGATAGCCAATACGGTAGCAGGGAGCAAGGAGCTGTGTTTACGGACTGCCGTCATCCTGTCCACACACCTCTCCGCATTGCCTGACCACTTGCTCAAAAAATCACATTACCTTTTAGTGGTGGGGTGGTGCGACGCAGCCCAACGTGCAGGCCATGGACTTGCCGGGTACACATCCGCGATGTAAACGGGCTCGAATAATGAATCGGTGAAAGGATGGATTCCTTTCGCCTCAGACAACACTCCGGATGGGGGTTGAATCAGTCCTGACGAAAAAGGTGTGGCACGCCGCTAGCCAATGAGGAGTGTGAACGCGACATTTCTGACGCTGGCCTGCCCAGCCCCCAGCAATCGCCCTTCCGCCAGTCGCTGTTCAGAACTTGGATGTTGTTCACGAAACGGACCTCCATAAAGTGCCGGCTGGCGATTGACAGCCTGGTACTGGATGTCCAGCAAGGCCAGACGTGGCGTTCCTCTCTGATATCATCGTGGGATATTCAGACCCAATAGAGCCCTCCTCTGCAAGGAACCCGTAGAAGCGGCCGATGCTTCTTGGACTGTGAGATGGCGTGTGAGTGTGGGAGAGCCATGTCTGGTACCAGTGGAGTGTGGAACGCAGCCAGTTGGCCGTCACTAAAATTGCTTGTGGAATATTTAGCTCACGCGGCTCTTTTTGCTCGCCCGTTGAAGTGTGATTGATGCCTTGCAAGCAAGCCGGATGGCACCATTTCGTGCATGGGATCAATGATTTCCCTACTCAACAGTTATTTTTGGGAAGATACGACGGACATCCTGAAATTCCCTATAACTACTAAATATAGCTGGGATTTTCGGTGATTTTCTCTCTCGTTCGGGATGACTCTCTCCTTTACGCCTGTTGCGAAAGCCCTAATTTGATCACATGACCTTCTCATCGACACAAGTGCAAAAATTGTATATCACTCTCATATTCACAAAATAATATGAAATTTTATTCTATGAGGTCAAAAGGAAGGAAGAAGGAAAATCTTCATCCCTGGGAACCAATGGGCATGTTGCTGGACCCTGTGGTAGTTTGAACCAACCACGCTCGGGACCAAGTCGGGGCTTTTCTGCAGGACGCCGTACAATGCCTACGTATTGTCCTAGATGAAAGAGAAGGGGGGTTACGTTCATGCATCTCCCGTTATCTTTCACATGTCATCCCTCTCATGGGTATTTCATGGAATTAAGGCCAATGGTGTGATAGACTCGTAAAGGCTGGATCAACGGCTTGAAGGAAACAATTATTTTCTTCCGTGTCTGTTTGGCAACTTCGCCACGGATATTATCCTGTTCGTGGGAGTTAATTGCATATCCCGCTTCATGGGAAACTATGTGGTAGTAACTTACTGACCTGCAAAGTCGAAGATGATGTAGGTGTGGACCTCCAGAATTTATTCTTAACAAACGCTTTGCATCAACGCGTGAGAAATTGCTGCAAACTTTTGCTTGTGACAGTATTGAAGACATTTCGAAATGTACAAGATACAATTTCGGGAATGGCTACTTTTAGGTGATAGAGCATGGCGATTCCGGCATGTATGTCACAGACACCTGTGTGGAGAGTTCGTGATACCAGCACATGTTTTCCAATGGTACTGACACATGCAACACAGAGTTTTGAAACAAAGTGAACAAAGTTCTTATCAAATCTACGATCTCCATTGCTGGCTGCTTTCTAGTTGAGTTGATTTTCGAATGTGTCGAGACATTCTAACAGCAAATGCGTTGGGTGTGGTTCGACATGTGGCTTGGTGCTGCATGAGGCGGTGCACATTGTCCTCTGCACGAAAAAACATCCCATGACAAGGCGCTTAGACCAATAATATCAACTTTCAGTGGCTAGTAGTGTGTCAGCTCGGTTTCGCTCCAGTTAGGCCTACTGAGCTGAGGGCTTGCCTGACTGCCGAGAGCTAAGTAGTTTGATAGATATAGCATATGGGGACATATATTCAGGGTACAGATTGGAAAAGTTAAGGTATCAGCTGTAAGTAGATTCCTAATGGAGAAAAACAAGGGGAAATTTAAAGCCCAGTCTGCCCGAGCTGATAGTTTTCAGCAATAGGGGTTGAAAAAAGATCAAAGATTTTGTAACTGGTCACATCTATGCTTCTTTCTGCTCAAGGGGTGATAGAGCTGGGAATTCTGTGATTCCGAGGACGAGAACCTAACCAATAAGTAGACTGAGGACCGAATTTTCCAGAAATGACATCCAGAAGCTTATCTAGTAGATATATGCTAACAATGATCAATCTCATAACAGAGCAAAATAAAGAAAGAAAACAACGCCACGATATGAGAGGACAGTATCACATAGAACAACATGATGTATGTATAGAATTGCCATCGTAATGGTAAACTAAATGTCGCTCAATGAAGGGCAAAACAATCCTTATGTCATAAAACGGGTATCGTTCCAACATAAAAGAAGGAAAAATAAAAAATAGCAACTCCAAAATTGTCAAAATTACCCCCAGAAAAATAAAATGAGAAATAAAAGATATAAAACTCCATTCTCATAAAATCCGATCTGCGTGGTCATGAATGTAAAACTTGGTCCTTCAAATTGCTCTAGAAATGTCCGCGATAGAGGGTAAATAAGCAAAATCTTAAGGGAAGCAATGATAATTCGTGAGCAATAATCAGACTTCGTGGCTGGGTTGTGAACTGGATGAATATGGTGGAGGGGAGGAGGCAAGATACGTTGCGAAACAGAGAGCCATGCAAAAAGAAATACCCCCTGGAGTACAGCTATCCCGGTACAGCACTCAGTGCCGTTTGTATTTCTAGATAAAACAAGTCAGTAAAATGGGAACCAAGTAAGTTGAAAGAAGGGGAGGTCGTGGAGGAAGCTTACATCGTCAACTCGTCTTCTGTTGGTAGGATCCAGTGAATTTCCCGCGCCCAATAATGTTTGTCCAAGAGCCTTTGATGCACCAATAGCAGGCCTCAAAATCACGGTAGGGGCTCGTTTTAACAGTGCCTTAGCAGCGCCTTGAGCGCTTCCACTATCCATCACTTCGCCGGGAACAGCAACCATTGCATCACGTGCCATGAGAAGATCACGCTCAAGGCTCGCGTACGCACCTCGCAAACCCTGCACGACGCCGACTGGCTGGTCTGCGTAAGGGGAGAATTGCTTTTGTTGCTCCTCGTCCGCCGAATCATCATCTGTTGTTGCGAAAGCTCGTTGCGGCGCAAGGCCACCTGGCGTAGTGAGGAAATCTTCGGTCCCTTGAAGGACGGTCTGGGTACCGATGGCAAGCTTAGCACCTAACTTCACAAGTTCGTTGGTGGTTGTTTTGGCGAATGCTAGGGCACCTTTCTGGATGCTGCGCACAACACGGCCATCTTTCTTGTACTCCCGCATTGGAATGACGACTAGGTCCTTGAATCCACTACCTACGCCGACAAGAGACTTTATGGGCGCTAAACCTGCAAGAACTCCTGGAAGCTGGTTGGCTTTGATGTCCGGCATCCAAATATCGTTAAGGGTTACTCCTAATTTCTCGAATCCTGAAACACCGTAGATAATTACGTGGCGGAGGACCATGTCGGCTTCTTCGAGAACGAAGAAGTTCATAAATTCCGTAGTACGTCCGGATCGTAGGCTCCCGTAATCTACCCTCTTTGGTTTGAAATCCAATCTGACACGAACGGCATTCACTTCGACCCTCTGCAAGAAAGGTTGGTCGGTTGGCGAAGTGTCAACGGGCGCTGAATCATCTTTGAATTCGAAGAACCGAGTCATGAAATCAAGAGCATCTTGATCAACATGAAGGCGAAGGGGGAGAATAGTTGCCTGAAAAGTGGTGAATTAGCATAATGCTTTGATCGACGACGAGAACACAATCCCGTCAAAAATATTTTGTGGCAGAATAAATACCTTAAGAACAATTTCCGACGCGGCAAGCTCTGCCACTGGCTTGACATTTAGTATTTCTAGGTGAACCATGCCGGTGCCGCTCTCCTTTTCGCCTGCATCATACATGTAGGTTGCAAACTTTCTCCAGTTAGATGATGGGACATGGTCGAAAATTTCCAAATCATTGACTCTAATATCCAATGAGCTTTGGGTCTCTCCAGATCCGGGAGGAAACACCACTAAATCCGCAGATATACCCTTCAGTTCAAATGTCATCTTCTGGCGTTTGCTACGACTCAATCGGAGTTTCTTGTTCTTTTTCGACGGAGGTTTGATTGTGGTTGCTGTCCCGTCAGTCATGGTCGTAGTTGTTGTAAAGCTACCTGTCTCGCTGGCAAAATCATCGATATGAGCGTTAATGTCTTCTCGCAGTTGTTGGGGGTTTCGATTCGACGGGATTCCGATGTAGATGGAGTTAAACAGGAAATCCCCAATCACATCCTCTTCACTATCTATTTGGGGAGATGCACGTCCACCACTGCGGGCGAATTTTTCACTCGCCTTTGCCTCAACATCCTTGACAGCTTTAGAAATAGTATCTCTCGTCTGTTGCCAGTCAAAGCCATCAAAAAGATTCCATATGAAATGGACGTCGCGAACCCTTACTCTAAGCGGGCTACCGCGGAGTTTGGCATCATTGGTAAGCGCGTAGGTATTGTATGTGGAGTCCCACCTATGCGCTGTGCCTCCAACTGCAGATTTCCGCGCGAAATGATTATCCTGGAAATCCAAACTGGAAACGCTGGATGTGACGTGAGCTTCAGAATGGAAGCTTTCAAGGAGCCTTCTCGACCCATGAGCTAGTCCAGGAGGAGCATCATCCGCATTGCCAGCACCTGATATGTGCATCCCAACATCATGCTTGCCTGTTCCCGATATCATAGGATAAAAGTCACTGACATACTCCAGCTCCTCGGCCAACCCACTCTCATTTTCGTCTTCGTCAACGGTGGGAAGGTTGGAGAGATTGTCACCCGCCGATATGGGGTCCGTGTCGAATGCGTTCCCCGTAAAGGAGCTTAGCATGTCATCGATTGGCATGACTTCGGTGCGATATTTGAGCGCTTTGTTTGGAGGTGAAGGAGGCGCCAGCTCATTTAAAATGGTAATCAACGTTTGAGTTGAATCGGCGCACGTTTCCAAGATAAGTAAGTCATCCCTCACCTCAATATCGACGGATTTCTCACGGTTGTCGTCAAGCTGCATGACCTTTATGACAATGGCAGCCGACGAAATATAACAGACAGGAACATATCCCATGCCATGTAGAAGTTGAACCTGGTTGCTTTGAATATCGCTGAATGTTCGTTGATGTGACTTCACATGCGTACCGACATTCCGGGCGTCGTTGATGATCATCAGAGAGGCCTTTTGGATTTCCAAAGACGCATCAAGGGTATCATCTTTATCTAGTGAACCTAAAAATTTTGCGGAAGTGAAAACCATAACTCCCCTGGCCGGGGATTTTCGAGGGTTCAGTCCAACTAAGCAGTCTCTCAAAATCACCGATAACTTTGATGGAACCGGTGATGAGGGTCTGGAGCTTCCGGAGCTCATTGAGGATTGTGTCAGCCGATGACTTGTCGCCACTTGGGACTTTAGCTCAGCCAAATTGACAACGGAATTTGCAAGATTAGCAGCAAAATCTTCAGCACTCATGTCGTTGTCAAGTCCGAGAAAAGCAACGATTGAAGGAACATTATATTCAAAACGGACGTTGTGGAGCTTTATCTTGACGGTTGGATCCATTTCATCTGCAATAAACCTCGCCATTATCATGGGCAGGGCTGTAATGTTAATTTCGTCTTGGGAGTTTACAGCTTCCCCAACGAGTTCCTCCTCATCATTCCGTGTGATCGCGAGTGAAGACACACGAGCCGCCATCAGCGATGGAATACCAACATGTGCGGCTTCCATTCCGGCAGAAGTAATTTCGATATCACCTATCCCTCCACCTAATGCAACTCCACAAGAGCATTCTCGGACAAGGATTAAGGTAAGTATTCCTGGCCTATCATCCTGCGGAAGATATTTCGTGACTGTAGAGAGTCTAGCCAGCTCATTTCCGAGGCTTGATAAAGGTTTGAGCATCTCCGGATGCGGAAAATCTGCCTTGAGGTTTCCAACAGTTAATCGAAGCACGGCTCCTTGTTTCCTCTGTCTGAACAAAGTGTCAAGCATTATGTCATCGTCTTCATCGTACTTGTCTTTGGAAGGAGTCAGAAGTAGGAGGAGTCGATCCAGGTCCTCCTCCGTTGGCGCAAACATAAACTGGGCGCGAATATTCAACAAATTGGTAATAGCGCTAGTTTCAGGATTATAATCGCCATTCAGGATAGGCCCAGTCAATTTTCCTTTGTCGATTTGAACTGTTATTCCTGCTGACCGACTCACAATCTTGATGGCGGTTGTTTTAAGTTTCACGCTGCACTGCTCTCCTTGTAAAGTCATGACAAAGCCTTTCATTCGAGTATTGATTTTCCAGGAGGTAGGATTAGCTCCGGGGCTCCCCACCGGTAAATATGGGGCCTTGGAAGGAGTTACTTCAAAATGTACACCACGAGGCCGTTGGCTCGGATCAGCTTTGCCTCCTTTTATGGTGGAGGTTGAGGCAATTGAATTGCCTACCTCCAAAATAGTGCTTAAGCCGCCAAACCAACTCAAAGTTTCGTCAAGCCGTTCAAGATTGAATGCAAGATGGACAGGAAGGGTTAATAAGTCCACTCTGGTGTCCTGCTTCGTTGAAACCACCGATAATGAAATGTCTCCTTGCTTCGAATGGAAATCATCTCGGATGGAATCGCGCATTTTTAGTCCTTCGTCAAATGATATAATATCTTCCGACGCGTGGCCAAAGGTGAACTTTGTGACATTAAAGGTAAATTCCGAGCTGTCACCTCGAACTAACGACTTGAAGTTTATCCCTGATAATGCTACGCGTAGGATGATCTCCTTAGCAGAAGAATTATCCTGGTGGTTTGTAACGTCAAGAGCAAAATGATGGAGAGGAAGATGTTCCAAGAATCTGACAGAGCAGCTTGTGAGCGTGAGATCTAATGGCAAGGCTGTCGTGTTACTACTCTCACTTCGGGATTCCTCTCTACCGCCGTTGAGATTCCAAGTAGAAACGAGCCTTCTACCCATCTTGGCCAAAAGACATCCACAAGCGATGTCAAACTCAATAGTAATACTAGAAACACGAGCTAAAATCGTCCCATCGTGCAGTCCCGAGGCACGAGTATCTACTTTTTCTGGGGAGGTCACGTCGGGGGGAGGTGCTTGGGAAGAAGTCGATGCTCTCCAGGGCTGCCGAGAAAGCCGATTTTTAGAAGAACTAGGCCCATCACCAGCGACCGAATCTGCACAGCTGGTCGTTGACGTCTCCATGTGGTCAAATTCTTTTCTTTGGTGGCTTTCTATCGATGCATCCGGAGCTTTCGTACTTTGTTTGTCAAGGGACGGTAACCATAGGGAGAGTTCATCAATTTCAAGGACCCTTTTGGCAACCTTAGGTGTATAATCTGGTAAATCTTGAAACTGCATTTCGGGTACTGTAGCGCCCGGTTGATTTGTGATTGGCAGTAGGGGACTTCCTAAATCATCTGAAGTATCTCGACCATCATGCTCCACTTCAACAACTGGCTTGGCTTTCGGCGTCCCTTCTGAAGCCGTTGAAAGGGGATCAATACCCATCGACGAAGTCGGGGCGAGAGAAGGAGCGGCTCTCGTGGTACTCTCATATTTTGGTGATTCCCACCCTCCAGGCATATCAGGCAGAGATCCAGAACCAGCCGATATCGAGCTCATCACACTCATATACATACTTGTTGCTTCTTCATGCGTAAATATTCTAGATTTCGACAAGTCTTCGACGACGGGATCAGGTTCTGAATGCTTCTGTTGCGGGTTACTAGGCTCGGATCCGCTTGGTTCCTGTATATGGGGCGCGCTATCCAAAACAGAAGTCTCAAGCTCGTCCCGATCGGGATCTGAAGATTCATTCTGGCGTTCAACTGAGGCTGTTTCTAAATGCTGAGATGGAGAGCTTATAGAAACAGTGGAATTTTCCATTGAATGGAACATATGATCGTCGGGTAAGGAGGTTGAGCTCTGTGGCCGAGGGGTATCCCCAGAGGGTTCGTCCACAGAGTCGGTCGAATGAGCAATTGACAGAGTAGAGTTTTCAAGTTCATCAGCAAGGTGGGATCGTATAGCTTCATCGAGATAGCCAGAATTATCCAGTGGATTTTCATTATACTTGCTCTCGGGCGCCGGACGAGTATGGTCAAAATAATTTCCATTTCCGTATTCACATTCTGACCCAGCATCCGAGAACTTGCCATCGTCCGTATAAATTGAATCCTGAAGATGGGGAATGGGATCGGTATCTTCCAATATGGAAGGCTGGTCTAGGATAGTTCCACGCGACATGGCAAGACACGAATCAGAGGAAGAGGAGGGGGGCGCTGGGGAGGAGACCCTCAGTGGTGTGTGGCTAAGATCCGAATGGACGAAATGGGTAGAATGAGTGGAATGAGTGGTAGAAGGAGATTCAAGAGAAGGAGGGGTGAAATGAGAATAGCTCGAGAACACTCCCGCATCCGCAAGGATCATCAAGTTAATCTGTGAGAGGCATATAAAACGTTTACCAGCCTTCAACTCTGGTCCCTCCTCCAGGGATGAGGCCACGCTGTCTATGGATATATTCTGGACTGTAAACACAGCCGTAATAGGATCTACCGTTAGATCTTGCGAACTATTCGACGTTCTATCATGAGGCAGGTCCATGTCGATTTTGAAAGTCATATCCTTGATCTTCAACTGGAGGCGATTAGCAACACCTTGGAAAAACCCAGCAACAAAGCCAGGCAATGACATGCCATCTTCGACTCCAATACCGAGCTCCTCCTCTCCATCATCGCTGAGGCCATCAGAGCTCTGGGAATATTGCGATTGGGACGAAATAGCGGCTTCCAGCTCCGCTTTTTCTTCCTTGGGTTCCGACTCAAGGAAAGATTGAGCAAGATCCGTGGTGGACGGAAGTATTCTAGCCTTCTCACTAGATTGGTCATGACTATGGGGTTGGGGTGCAGGGGGATCACTCGCGATGGGGCTTTTGAATAGCCCAGAAGCCCCGGAGGTCTCGTGACTATCTCCGCCTAAAGGAGTCTCATCCGAGAGCAACTTCAAGTTTACTTGTACATTTTCAACTTCGACGACGATACTGCTGCTGTATATATCCGCGGGTATCGTCACGCGGATGAGCGAAACCGTAGCCTTCGTGAGCTTGCAGGATGGAGGTAATCGCAGGACCGAAGACAGCTTCTATAAATTGAGAGCGGACTGATTAGTACACTAGGAGAGCGAATATGGGAAACCAGATTAACGGGAAATATCGTAAGCTGATAACATACCTCGAGCCGTAGACCAATATCCCTCAGTTCGAAAGTGCTCCGCTGCCCCCATCTGATGCCCAAGCTCTCTAAGTCAAGGGCGTCAGTGTCGACCAGCTCCAGTCGCGATAACGCATATCTCAGCAGTCGCTTCTGGAAAAATGAGGGAAGAAAGTATGACATGGCGGGCTAAGGGGATTTTAGAGCCTCCTGGCTCACAGGGAATTAAAGCATATCATGGAGAAGTCCTCGTAACATGGGGGCAACTATGTTGGATGGAGTTGGGCGTCGGTTGAATGAAGTGGGCTAGACACTGGTGGTGGTGGAAAGTAGCCTGGAGGACACAGGAAGTATGTGGCCATGGGAAGGGCCGGCAGAAATGGAGAGGAGGCAGGCAGGCTAGATAGCCCCGTTTATTTGAACGAACTGTATTCCTTTTGTTCCGCTGCAAGTCCAGCTAATCACAAACAAGCCAGGACGAACAAGCAGCCGCCTGGGAGACGTTGGGGTTTGGTGTCTCGGTGCGTCATCAATCGCCGTTGCATTGCTGGACCGGTTTGATTCGCTGCGGCCATCAAACCATGCAAACTCCTCTGAAAACGCAATCACTAGTTACTCGTGCTGCTGCTTAGTTACTCACTCACCTCTGAGTTGTTGGGAAATACAAGAGGTCATACGCTATGAACGCCACCAACATCGTATTACTACTATTTTTCTTATCATCATCAGCCTACTACAATTGCTCATTAAATGTGAAAGGTGTAAAGCTTGTGTGATTGAAAGGTTGCTAGCTTGTGGAAAGTTATATAGTGGAAGGATTAGTAAGCCAGGTCACGTGACCTGACACACCCACTCACCAGAGTAACTATAGTACTATACACGATGCTATATACAAAATTCGCCTTCAAATCAAGTACAGATACAAAAAATGACTGAAAAATGTGTAATAATGAAAAATCAGTCATGAGATACATTATTTCTTATCCCTCTATTTCTCTATCTTCTTCATCTTAATATTCTTCTTTTAACATGTATATTTTATTGTTTTAAGTAATTTAGTAAGCTTATTCACTGCATTCTCAGTAGATGAAATATATTAGATAGATATTTTATTCTTACAGATAAGACTCTGAAGAATATGAAAATAAATCTGTATATACTTCAGACAGTGTGAAATTGCTTTGAAAGAGAATAGCTCTATGACAGACTTATTATCAGTATGAATTATATAAGTCAAATTATTAACTGTAATAGAAATGAGATAATTATTAACATTCAGATTGTTAAGATAAGATAAAATAAATTCAGCATCTTCTAGAAGCTTACAGAGATAGATAAGCTTATATACAGTCTCAGAGAATGCAATATATTCAGTCTTTATTAATAATTTAAAGATCTTTATTTATCAGCAGCTCTGCTATGCAATAGAGTTATCTATTATATAGATGATATAACTAATAATTGAATAAGATTCTGAATCTCTACTGACTCAATCAGTATCTATGTATTGTAATTCAAAGATTGCTTAAGCCAGTGTACAATTACAGATATATACTGACTTTATATACTGTATACTAAATTAATTAATGACTGCTATGATCTCTTTACATTTGTAAGCAAGTTCAGAAGCAGTTGTGTTATTATTCAATAATCATATATTTTTTCAAATCATATTCTCTCTTATCAGATTTGATCACACTTATATAACTATAACATCTATTCTAGCTTTATGTGAATTAGTGCATTACTAGTATTCACAATTATATGATCTATTTCTGATTCAGCTAGTATTCTATGTGTACTCTTATAAAGAAACTTTCACTATATTATATCTCTCATTCACTAACTTTTCTCATTCTTCAATCATCTTCTTCATCATTATCATCATTGAATGTAATTATCTTCTTCAAGATTTCTGTCTCTTCTTCTATTCAATATCTTCTATTTATTTATCTATTACATTGTATGTGTTTCTGATGATGATCTCTCATTCTTATAACAAGTATCATTGTAGTGCTCATACTGAGCAGTTCATTAGCAGTAAGTGTAATATGTTATGAAATATAACCAGGACTTATTTATCTTCTAACAATTATCAGAATATACTATTATAAATGATATATCTTCTTCATCTTCTGATACACTTCTGACTCTCTTTTCTTCAGTGAATATCTGATCATGTTTTTCTGATCATTTTATATAGCTGCAGATACTGATATATTTATTTTTAATTCATATAGAATCTTCATGTATTGACAGATCTGTATCTGCTGATGATTATAATCTCAATGTTGAATTATTAATTAAGAACTTAAAGAACATGATAATGAAGAAATTATCTGTGTTATATATGACTGAGTCTCTTATATTCTCTTCTATCTCTTCTGTCACTTCTTTCTCTGCTACTTTCTTCTCTGTTTCTTTCTCTGTCACTTCTTCTCAATCTTCTACACTTGTCTCTGTGTCTGGTTCTCCCACTCTCACTATCTCTGTTCTCACAATCTCTACTTTCACTACTTCTGCCTTCTCTGATTCTGCTGTCTCTGCTTTCATTATCAGCTCTTCCTGTTTCAAGGAGATGTTAAATAGACTTAATGAATCATATTTCTCAGTATATACACTTCTGTTCTTCTTACTAACTTCTAGAATAATTTATTGTATGAAGACTGTATACAATACAATTATTTAAAGCTCAGTTGTGAATATCAATTATTATATTCATTTTAAATATTTATGATAAGATAATTATTTATTTATATCAGAGAATCACTCTTCTTCTTAACAGTGTTAAGATTATAAGTCTTTTTCTTTTTCATCTTTTCTTTCTAACACTGATTTTTCTGTTTCTAGAGAAAATTATTATAGATTTTATTATATATAAAGTTATAATATTTACAGATATTAAGAAACTTTTTACAACTGTAAAGTTCAATATTATAAGTATATTCACTCTGATAAATTTCTTTGAGATAATAGATCTGTATCAGTTTATTCTCTGATATCTATTATCTGACTTTGTGATGCAGACAAAAGATATCTGTGTTTTCAGAAATAAAAATACAGATATCATACTCTTTTACACTCACAGATATAAGACTTATACATCTTGTCTGAGATATTATTATAAGAATGAATTATTCATATACTGTATTCTGCTTTCTGCATTTCTTCATGTCTCTCTCTCTCTTTCTAAGAAGTCTCATGTATGTTGTAATTGCATGTACAATTCTAAGATCAGTGAGTGTTTATTTAATAATTATTATTCTCTACTTTTACAGTTTTATACACTAATAATAGTTCTTAGTTACTTCAGTATCAGAGATCATTTTAATTGAAGATGATAATGCTGCTGAGACTATTCTCTTTTATTCTCAAGCTTCTCTCAGCACTTTCTCTTCCTTCTCTACAGAGAAGATTGTATACACACTGAGTTATAAGTGTTCAGTCTCAGATAGCTCTTACTGTCATTTATCTGATTCTGTGTCTTCTTCTTCTTTCATTTCTTTCATCTCTATCTTCTCTATTCTGACTTCTGATTCTGTGAGTTCTGTACTCTTCTTCAATTTTTCTATACATATGTATACACATTTCTATATTGATATTTCAGTTGATCTTACAATAAACAATATTAATATTGTACACAGAGTGATAGAGAAATCAAAGACATGTACAGTGTTGTTATAAGAGTGACTTACAGCTCTTGAATTTCTTATGAATCTCAAGTTTTGAGATTTTCTTTATTTTTGATGTTTTTCAGATAGTGTGATGTTGGAAATAGATTAAATATGTAATGTATGAAAATGAATGAGATGTATATGATAATATTTGTCTTTTGTGACTGACTCTTACAGTTGATGATCAATTCATTTCTCTTTTCTTACACTTTTTCTTTATCTGCTAGTTACTACTCTTATATAATCTCTATATAATACATTGTTCAGTGACTAGATTCAGCAGCTTTCATCTTTTGTGATTTTATCTTATACATTATACTGTCTCTCTTTGCCTGCTCAGATCACTATAGTGAACAGCTTATTAAAACTAATCTCATCTGATCTCTGAGTGTTCTCAGAGATTGAGATGACTTGTGTGACGGGCTGCGTCTGATCAATCATATAGACTATTTCATTACACTTCACAGATTTCAACCACTTCATTCTCAAATGCGTACGCTCCGATTCTCGGCCATTCTCAATCATCAATTCTCAGCCACCACAAACATGTATAGATTCTTCCACCCCGAAGCTCCACTGCATACATCACCACATACATGTATAAATATCCACTTCAATCACTGATTCTCACACTTTCTCTTTCTTTTTCTTCTCTAATGTTTTTCTCTTTGTTATATAAGACCTATCAATATAATACTGATCTATTCAGCATAGGCCTCTTATATTAGAAAAATGTTCATTGTCTTCTTATTAGAAATGATTATTCATTGAGAGATATCTGAATGTGTAACAACATGTAAGAAATAGAGAAACAGTCAAACAGTTAAGTAGATACTGAGTTCTCAGATAGAAGCTTGCTCATCAGTCACTCTGACTCTGCAGTAAGATCTTATAAAAGAATGTCAGTGAAAGACCTGAGAGTTCTGATACTCAGATGTATGAGATATTCATACAATTACACTTCTTTAAGATTTCACAGATATTATACACTCAATAAATGACATGTCTAATGATAATATGAGAGAACTCTTAAGTGTGAGTATAGAAGTAATATCACAGTGACTCTGAGCAATGTTGAAATTACAACAGCAATAGATAGCAGATATACACATGACTTAATAACTTCAATATGAAGAGATTCAATAATTAACTCATGCAATTTCAATATCTACAGAATTAAATATAAAAGTGCTGAAAGAACACTTAAATACTCTCACATATTTTAATACTTCTGATCTCACTCTCTAGTCATTATGAAGAATGAAAATGCTCATGAAACTGAGTGTAGATAAAGATATCATTGATTTATTAATCAATCAAGATTAGTATATTATTGAATAATTGAAGAATTGCATGAAACAGAAATTTCACTCATGAATGAAAGCATGTGAATCAGTGTTATGAATATCTGACAATATTATCAAACATCTTGATATTCTGTTCTGAGACACTGTCATGCAATAGAAAGTGTTAGATTGATTACAGAGTACTTAACAGAGAAACACTTCTCTTACAATATTCATCTCTAACTTCATCATCAAGATCTTAGAAGCAGATGATTAATCTTGAGAGAATTAAATGAAGATTCACATGCTTAAGAAGATATTAACTTTTGAACTCTTACAGACTCTTATAAGTGTGAACAAAGACTTAACTTATGAAGGCTTCTGCACACAGCTCTGAACATTAAATGACTCTCTTATCAAGCTCAAGAGTATACAGAACAGTGGCAGAAGATATTACATCTTAGTTACTTATACACTCATACTGAAGAACAGCAATGATGCAGATATCATGAACTGAATAGATTTAAATATCTATATATAAGCAAGAGTTTCTGCTGTTTGAACAGACTTCTGAGTCTCTGAGATCACTCTCAAAGAAGTCACTGATCAATGTCAATGTGAAGTATACATCAACTGTAACTGATCAGAATATATCACTTTCAACTGCTAATCAATCTATATATCTTCACACTTAAGAGAAAGATCAGTGTCTTCTCATTCAAAGAATGAATCAGCATCTGTCTGTGCTAACCATGTTACATTAGAGAAAGATTCAGAAGATAACT